GGTTATCACTCAGTCGTCAGTTGGACAGTCAGTCACTGGTCGGTCACGGTCAGTTTAACAGTTTATTAGTAAGTCAGTCAGTAAGTACACCAGTCATTCAGTCAGTCAGGCACCAGTCAGTAACCAGTTGGTAAGTCAGTAAACCAATCAGTTAACCACTCAGGCAAGCAGTCACTAAGCCAGTTAGGTACCAGTGAGTCAGTCGACACGTTAGTCAGCTAGCCAGTCAACTATCCTTGAGCCAGTCAGTCACCCGTCCGTCAGTAAGTCAGTTAACCAGTCAGATGGCCAGTCAGGTACCAGTAAAATAGTCAACCAATCAGTCAGTCAGTCAGGTGCCAGTCAGTCAGCTAATCAGGTAGAGATAGTCAGTCAACCAGTAAGTAGACCAGTCAGTCAACCGATCTGTAATCCCATCAAATACCAGTGAGTCAGTCAACCAGTCAGTTAACAAGTTAGGCACCACTCAGTTAGCCAGTCAGTAACCAGTTCGTCGGAAAGAAAGCCATCCAGTCACATAGCCTCTCAGTCAACCAGATAGTCAGCCAGTCAGGTACCATTAAGTCAGTTAACCAGTCAGTCAACAAGTCAGTATACCAGACAGTCACCAGTAAGTTACCAAGTCAGTCGCCAGTCGGTCTGCAAGGCATTCAAGCAGTCAGTCACGAGTTCCGGTACCAGTAAGTCAGTCAATTCGTCAATAACTCGGTCAGCCAGACAGTAACCAGTCAGCAAGCAACCCAGTTAGATACCAAACGGTCAACATCAGTCAACCAGTCAGTAATGAGTCAGTCGATCAGGCAGTCAACCATTCAGTAAACCAGTCAATCAACCAATCAGTCAGACAATCAGTCACCAATCAGTGTCCAGGTTAGTCACCAGTCGGTCAGCTAGACGGTAACCGACAGAGTGCCGGTGAGTCAGTCTACTAGTGAGTCACTTAGTCAATCACCAGTCAGTTAAACACCCAGTTAGGCGCCAGTCACTCAAAATGTGAGTTAACCAGTCATTTAGCCTGTCAGTCAACAATTGAGTCATCCAACACTCACTCAGTCAAAGCAAATTTAGTGAGTTAGCCGGTGAAGAACTGGTGAGTCAGTCAACCAGTCAGTTGCAAGTCAATCGCTAGTCAGTGAGTTACTCAATCACCATTTGGAAGTCAAATATTGAGCCAGCTCATCAGACACTCATTTAGCCAGTCACTCACAAGTCGATCAGCAAGTCAGTTAATCAGTCACAAAGCTAGTCAGGTATCAGTGAGTCAGTCAACCAGGCAGTTAATCATCCAGTCAGTCACCAGTCAGTTAGGCGGTCGGTGACCAGTCGCTCAGCAAGTCAGTTAGCCGGTTAGACAGCCAGTCAGGCACCAGTGACCATGTCAACCAATCAGTCGGACAGTCTGTCGCCGGTCCGTAACTAACTCTATCATTCCATGAACCAGTCATTCGTCCATTCCGTCAGCCGATCAGGTACCATTCAGTCAGTCAACCAGTCACCTAACCAGTATATCAACCAGTCACTCAGCCAATCAGTAGGCCAATCAAATTGCGAAGTAGGCACCATTGAGCCAGTCAACCATTCATTTAGAGTCACCACTCAGTAACCGAGTCAGTCACCAGCAAGGCAGTCCAGCAGTCAGTCACCACGTCAAGTACCAGTAATTCAATCCAGGAAGGCAGTCAACGAGTCTATTAGCAGTACCAATCAGGTACCACGCAGTCGGTCAGTCAGTCAGGCACCAGTCAGTTAGCCAGTCAGTAAACCTGTCAGTCATCAGTCGGTCAGAAAGTGAGTTAACCAGGCAGTCATCCAGTCAGTAAACCAATCAGAGAGCCAGTCAGGTACCAGTCAGTCAGTGAACGAGTCAGTCGGCCGGTCAGGGACCAGCAACGGAGTTAACAAGTGAGTCAGCCAGTCTCAAAACACTCACTAGTCGGTTACCAAGTCAATCACCAGTCTGTCAGCCAGGTTGTAAACCAGATAGTCTGTCTGCCCGTCAACTACCAGCAAGTTATTCAGGCAGTCAGTCAGCCAGTCAGTCAACAAGTCAGTCAGCAGAGTCAGTAACCACCCAGTCAGTCTATTACCAGCCGGTGAGTAAGGCAGTCATTCAGTCAGTCAATCAGTCAGGCACCAACGTCTAAGTCAATCAATCGGTCACACAGTCAGTCAGCAGTCATTCAACCAGTTAATCATCCAGTCACTTAACAAGTCAAGCGGCCAATAAGGTACCAGTGATTGAGTCAACAGGTCAGTATGCCCGTTGATAACAAGTCAGCTAGAGAGTCAGTCACCAGTCACCAGTCAGCTAGAGAGTAGGTCACCAGTCAGTCACCAAATCAGTCAACAAGTGGGAAACGCACTCAGATACCAATCACTCGGTTAACCATTCCACCATTGGCCACTCATTAACCATTCACTAAGGCACTCAGTCAGTCAGTCAACCGGTCAGGTAATCAGTCAGTCAACAAGTCAGCTAACCAGTCAGCAAGCCCCTCAGGTGCACTTGGGTCGGTAAATCAGTGTTAACCAGTCAGTAAGCCAGCTAATCACCCCTCAGTTAGACAGTCTGCAGGAAGTCGTTTAGCAAAGCAGTGAACAAAGTTAGGTAAGAGTAACTCAGTCAAGAAGCCAGTCAGGAAGCCAGTCATCACCCAGCCACCCCGTCACCAGTCGGTCAGGACGGCAGTTAGGCAGACACTCAGCCAGTCATGTACCAGTCAACCAGTTCCTCAGTTACTCAGTTAATCAGTCAGCCAGCTAGTCATTTACCCAGCCAGTCCCTAGTTGGTAACCAAGCTACTCAACAAGTCAGTCAACCTGTCAGCTACATGTGATTCAGTCAGCCAGTCACTGAAACAGTCAGCTATTAGTCTGTCAGGAAAGCAGTCAACCAGTCTGTCTGTGAGTCAGTCAATTACTAGTCGGTTAGCTAGTCCGTTAGCCAGTTAGATACCAGAGAGTCACTCAACCACTCAGTCTGTCAATAAATTAGCCAGTCAGTCACCATTCACTTACCAAGTCAGTCACTAGTAAGTCAAGAACTCAGTTAGCCAGTCAGTCCACCTGTCACTCAGTCATTCATTTAGCCACTCAGTCACTCCAACGGAGTTCAGTCAGCTACTCGGTAAACTACTAGTCAGTCACCAGTCAGTTAGCCACTCAATCACCATTCGGTCGGCGAAGCAGTCATCCAGTCAGTCAGCTAGGCAGTCGTGAATCACTGACACAGTCATTTCGCCAGTCACTCACCAGTCGGACAGAGTGTAACCAGTCAGATAGCCAGTCAAATATCAGGGAGTCAGTCAACCATTCGGTTAGCCAGTCATTAAGCCAGCCAATCAGTCAGAAGTCAACTAGCCACTCGGTCACTAGTCGCTCAGTATCTCAGCAACCAGTCAGATAGTCAGTCAACTACCATTGGGTCACTCAACAATTCAATAATGCAGTCAGTCAACCAGCCAGCTACCCTCTAACTCACCAGTCAATTAGGCACTCAGCCACCAGTCGGTCAGTAAGTCAGTTCAACAGTCAAATAGCCATCAAGTACCACTGAGTCAGGCAACCATTTGAGGGCCACAAGTTTATTAGCCTCTGGCTATTGAGTGCTACCCTCTTTAAATAAAGGCTTTGATTCATTCATTCACCCAATAAGCCACTCAGTCAACCAAACAGTCAGCCTGGTGGCTCACCAGCCAATTAGTCACTAAGTCACTAGTCGGTCAGTTAACCAATCAGATCATCGGTCAGTTAACCAATCAGATAGCCACCAAGTGCCACTGTGTCAGTCAACCATTCAGATCATCCAGTCAGTCAACCAGTCAGTCTGTCACCAGTCAAAAAGCCACTCAGTCAACTCTCGGTCAGCAAGTCAGTTAACTAGTCAGATACCCAGTCAAGTACCAGTGAGTTAGTCAACAATGAAGTCATCTAGTCAGTAAAGCAGTCAGATGGCCACTCAAGTACCAATGAGTTAGTCAACCACTTAACCAGCCAGTTAGTCAATCAGCCAGTCAGTCACCAGTCAATTAGCCACTCAGTCAGCAAGTAGTTTAACCAGACAGAGAGTCATCCAAGTACCACTGGGTCAGTGAACCATTCCGTCATCCACCCAGAGATCCAGCCAGTCAGCCTCCCAGTCAGCGGTGAATTAGCCACTCGGTCACCAGTCGATTAACAAGTCAATCCACCACAGATAGCAAATCAAGTGGCACTAAATCAGTCAACAGTTCAGTCATAACTGCACTCAATCAGCCAGTCACTCACTATCAAAAACCCACTCAGTCATCAGTCGTTCAGTAAGTCAGTTGAACAGTCAAATAGCCATCAANTAGATCACGACAATACAAGTATAAGGAAAGTGCACAAACCTATAAAATCTATGAATTTACTTGATATTCAAGAACACCTTTATTATTTTTTGCTGCCTTGAACCCTTTAAGGGAATAATAGAAAAAGGTGGCTTATGGATTGTAATAAACGAGATTGGCTTGCTTGTTCTTAATACCAAACTGTTAAAGCAATATTACTGTGCACGGATGAACTTAATCTTGTTGCAGGTGATATTAATGTTACTTTTTAAAGTTCAGGTTGGACGTTTTCATAAAATTGAAACTGATTATACCGGGTCTTGTGGCTCAAGAATGATAAATATTGACAATAGACGCACCAGGTCAACTTCTGACGGTAGATCTTGTTTTTTGTTGTTTCCTATGATACATATGGGCTCAGTGATGAATAGGTGAGATAGATATCAATAACATTCCTGTACATGCTAGCTCTCAAAATTAAAATGTCACACTTCGTTTATCTCAAGAGGTTTCTGGTCTTGTACTGCGCATGCCGGAATTAAGAACATCAAGTAACGTTTTTTATGTAGATCGGTAATTTGTTGACGAATATAAGTTAGTTTTCAAGAGATAACTGGAAAAAAGCCGAGAAAAAGTGACGCATGATATAATAAGTAAAAACACTCACAAACAAGTGGTATTAACCTTAGCTTAAAACGAACTTTTTTGAAATATCTCATTTTTGACACAATTAACAAAATTGCGAATAAAAATGTTACTTTTTAAAGTTTGTATTCATCATTTCGTGTGTAAACAGCATTAAGGAAAAGCTTGCGAGTACATGATAATATTTCATTGTTCAAAAAAAGTTATGGATGGTTGATCCTCCCCGAATAGACAATCAAAATAAAGTCACACTTAGTCAGGACATTACACGTACTGTTTATGCGATATAAAAGGTTTTTCACCCACCTATACTCATTCAGTGTGCGGTTCGTTTTCTCGGACACATGTACCAGTTGACATACTGCTTTCTCACCTTCCAGAATGAATTCGTATTTTTTATTTACTTTTTGGCTGCTTTGCTGTCGGCTACCCGAGGCCATTACGCTTCGGGAGATTTGTTAAACGACGAAGCGTTTGAAGCCCTCGAAGATATACGAGATGAACCCCGGCTGCCGAGGCTTAACGAAGCGCTTATTGATGTGCCGATGGTTCAAGAAGACAGTCATAATATGACCTGTGACTGTGACAGCGAGTGTGACAAGCTTCACGTGAGAAGGCTGCCACACGATGTTCAGGTAGGTGGTTACTGCAAGGAAACGTTTGTGCATTCAAGAAAAGTCTAAGTATTGTGATACACCTCAAATCATATAAATACGTTGGAGCAATAAATACCAACGGAAAAATTAGACGATTCGGACTTTTTATTTTAAAATCTGTTTCAACCCTCTTTCCATAATTAATTTTGTATATACTGTAGTTATATGTTGTTAGGGCGTAGGCAGAGTGCGTTCAGTTCACCAAGTGGGGTGAGTCAGGCTGTTTCATTGTTATACATCTTTCTTTTAGTTAGCAAGGGAGTGTATGTATGATGCACGATCCTCGCAGTAGAGAGCACTATTTATGCAATAGCGAAAATCAGGCCTGTACGGAAAGGGAGTGTATGTCATGCACCTTATGACCCTCCTACATGTAATTGCGCTCCACAAGAAGTATCAGTGATGGCTCTCATCCAATGTCTTTTTATTAACATGCAGGACGAAGAAAAATACCTCACCTACGAAAACTACCTAGTGTTATGCCCTGATGCTGCTGCCATGTATCTGCCACGCCTCCCTGGTGCAAATGACCCAGCCAAGAAGTATGTGTGCAAACAAGTGTTCGACTGCTACCGAAGTTGTAACCAGCATTTTTACTCTTGTATCAGAGACTCTGGCAACAACTATGGTCTGTGCATGCGCGGGGCTTATAAATGTATGTGCGACTGTATTGATAACAAATCCTTCAACGAACTCCCTCACAAGCCCTGAGTCCGCCACTGAACTTTGTAACAGACACTGCTACCATTATCCTGTAATGTGACTCTCTTCAGTTGGAGTCTATCTTAAACAGACGA